ATCTCGTTGAAGGTCTTCCTCTTTTTTGCTCACTCTCTACTTTACCAAGCATGATGTCCTTCTCCAGTGACTGGTCCCTCATGATAATATGTCCAAAGTATGTAAGACAAAGTCTCACCATCCTCCCATCTAAGGAGCATTCTGGCTATACTTCTTCCAGGACAGATTTGTTTGTTCTTCTGGCAGTTCAATATTCTTTGCCAACACCATAATTGAAACACATCATTTCTTCTTCGGTCTTCCTTATTCATTGTCCAGCTTTTGCATGCATATCAGGCAATTGAAAACGCCATGGCTTAGGTCAGGCACACTTTAGTGACATCTTTGCTTTTGAACGCTTTAAAGATATTCTGCAGCAGATTTGCACAAGGCAACATGTCTTTTGATTTCTTGACTGCTGCTTCCCTGGGCATTGATTGTGGATCCAAGTAAAATGAAATCCTTGACAACTTCATCATGATGTTGCTTATCGGTCCAGTTGTGAGGATTTTTGTTTTCTTTATGTTGAGGTGTAATCCATACTGAAGGCTGTGGTCTTTGATCTTCATCAGTAATTGCTTCAAGTCCTCTTCACGTTCAGCAAGCAAGGTTGTGTCAACTGCATATCACAGGTTGTTAATGAGTCTTCCTCCAATCCTGATGCCCTGTTCTTCTTCACAGAGTCCAGCTTCTCAGATTATTTGCTCAGCATTCAGATTGAATAGGTATGGTGAAAGGATACAACCCTGACGCACACCTTTTCTGACTTTAAACCATGCAGTATCCCCTTGTTCTGTTCAAATGACTGCCTCTTGATCTATGTACGGGTTCCTCATGAGCACAATTAAGTGTTCTGGAATTCCCATGCTTTGCAATGTTATCCATAATTTATTATGATCCACACGGTCGAATGTCTTTGCATAGTCAATAAAACACAGGTAAACATCTTTCTCGTTAGTGTAAGTAGGATAAAATCTTTCTAATTAGTGTAAGTAGGATAAAATCTCAGACTCTGCTCAGTTCTTGACAATCGTCTGTGAGGTGAAGATCAGTGCTATGGAAAAAAAAGAGCAGAAAAAGGGAATTTAGCACAGCTTGCTATTTTTGATAGGGTCATCAAGAAAAGATTTTCTGATAAGGTGACATTGGAGCAGAAACAGAATAAAATATTGTGGATTGAATTGTGTCCCCCCAAAACTTGTGTTAGTATCCTAACCCTTATACCTATGGATGTAATCTTGTTCAGAAATAGGGTTTTTTAATTATGTTAAGAAGCCCTCGTGGTGGAGTGGTTAAGCGCTCTCGGTTGGTGGTTTGAAGCCACCAGCCACTCCAGGGGAGAAAGATTTGGCAGTCTGCCTCTGTAAAGATTACAACCTTGGAAACCCTATGGGGAAGTTCTACTCTGTCCTGTGGGGTTTCTATGAGTCGAAATTGACTCAATAGCAACATGTTTTTGGGATTTTATTATGCTAATTAGACCATATCCAAATAGTTCTAAATCTAATCACTTCTAAGTTGTAAAAAGAGCAGAATGGAGAAGGAGACACAGAGAGAGAGAAGAGGAAGACAGACTATGGAGACAGATACATCCACAAGGATCGCTGGCAGCTACTGTTGTTATTATTGTTGTTGTTAGGTGCCATTGAGTTGGTTCTGACTCATAGCGACCCCATGCACAACAGAACAAAACACTGCCCAGTCCTGTGCCATCTTCGCAATCGTTGTTATGCTTGAGCCCATTGTTGCAGCCACTGTGTCAATCCATCTCATTCAGGGTCTTCCTCTTTTTCGCTGACCCTGTACTTTACCAAGCATGATGTCCTTCTCCAGGGACTGATCCCTCCTGATAACATGTCCAAAGTATGTGAGACATAGTCTCACCATCCTTGCTTCTAAGGAGCATTCTGGTTTTACTTCTTCCAAGACAGACTTGTTCATTCTTTTGGTAGTCCGTGACATATTCAATATTCTTCGCCCACACCACGATTCAAAGGCATCAATTCTTCTTCTTCCTCTTTTTCGCTGACCCTGTACTTTACCAGAGAAGGACATCATGCCTGGTAAAGTACAGGGTCAGCGAAAAAGAGGAAGACCCTCAACAAGATGGATTGACACAGTGGCTGCAACAATGGGCTCAAGGATAACAATTGTGAGGATGGCACGGGACCAGGCAGTGTTTCATTCTGTTGTTCATAGGGTCTCTATGAGTTGGAACTGACTCGATGGCACCTAACAACGACAACAATTCTTCTTCGATCTTCCTTATTCATCGTCCAGCTTTTGCGTGCATATGAGGTAACTGAAAACACCATGGCTTGGGTCAGTCTCACCTTAGTCTTTAAGGTGACATCTTTGCTTTTCAATACTTTAAAGAGGTCTTTTGTAGCAGATTTGCCCAATGCAATGCGTCTTTTGATTTCTTGACTGCTGCTTCCATGGGTGTTGATTGTGGATCCAAGTAAAATGAAATCCTTGACAACTTCAATTTTTTTTCCGTTTATCATGATGTTGCTTATTGGTCCAGTTGTGAGGATTTTTGTTTTCTTTATGTTGAGGTGTAATCCATACTGAAGCTGTGGTCTTTGATCTTCATCAGTAAGTGCTTCAAGTCCTCTTCACTTTCAGCAAGCAAGGTTGTGTCATCTGCATAACGCAGGCTGTTAATGCATCTTCCTTCAATCTTGATGCCCCGTTCTTCTTCATAGAGTCCAGCTTCTAGGATTATTTGTTCAGCATACAGATTGAATAGGTATAGTGAAAGAATACAGCCCTGATGCACACCTTTCCTGACTTTAAACTACGCAGTATCCCCTTGTTCTGTTCAAATGACTGCCTCTTGATCTATGTACAGGTTCCTCATGAGCACAATTAAGTGTTCTGGAATGCCCATTCTTTGCAATGTTATCCATAATTTGTTATGATCCACACAGTCAAATGCCTTTGCATTGTCAATAAAACACAGGTAAATATCTTTCTGGTATTCTCTGCTTTCAGACATGATCCATCTGACATCAGCAATGATATCCCTGGTTCCACATCTTCTTCTGAATCTGGCCTGAATTTCTGGCAGTTCCCTGTCAATCTACTGCTGCAGCCGCTTTTGAACGATCTTCAGCAAAATTTTACTTGCGTGTGATGTTAATGATATTGTTCGATAATTTCCACATTCGGTTGGATCACCTTTCTTTGGAATAGGCATAAATATGGATTTCTTCCAGTCGGTTGGCCAGGTAGCTGTCTTCCAAATTTCTTAGCATAGATAAATGAGCACTTTCAGCACTGCGTCCATTTGTTGAAACATCTCAATTGATATTCTGTCAATTCCCAGAACCTTGTGTTTCGCCAATGCCTTCAGTGCAGCTTGGATTTTTTCTTTCGGTACCATCGGTTCCTGATCATATGCCGCCTCCTGAAATTGTTGAACATTGACCAATTCTTTTTGATATTAGTGACATTGTGTATTCCTTCCATCTTCTTTTGATGCTTCCTGTGTCGTTTAATATTTTTCCTGTAGAATCCTTCACTATGGCAACTCGAGTTTTGAATTTTTTCTTCAGTTCTTTCACCTTGAGAAATGGCAAGTGTGTTCTTCCCTTTTAGTTTTTTATCTCCAGCTCTTTGCACATGTCATTATAATACTTTACTTTGTCTTCCTGAGCTGCCTTTTGAAATCTTCTGTTCATTTCTTTCACTTCATCTTTCTTCCTTTTGCTTTAGATACTTAACATTCAACAGCAAGTTTCAGAGTCTCTTCTGACATCTATTTTGGTCTTTTGTTTCTTTCCTGTCTTTTTAATGACCGCTTGCTTTCTTCATGTATGATGTCCTTGATGTCATTCCACAGCTTGTCTGGTCTTCGGTCATTAGGGTTCAACGTGTCAAATCTATTCTTGAGATGGTCTTTAAATTCAGATAGGATATACTCGAGGTCATACTTTGGCTCTTGTGGACTTATTCTAGTTTTCTTCAGTCTCAATTTGAACTTGCATATGGGCAGTTGATGGTCTGTTCTGCAGTTGGCCCCTGGCCTTGTTCTGACTGATATTGAGCTAGTGGAAACTGAAATAGCCAAGAAAGGACCTTCCCCTAGAGCCGTACCCTAAATTTGGACTTCTAGTTCCCTGAACTGTGAGAAAATAAATCTCTGTTCTTTAAAGCCACTCATTTGTGGTATTTGTGTTACAGCAGACCTAGGTAACTAAAACAGTGAAGAAGCAAGTCAGGTGACTATTTGGGAGGAGACCATTCCAGCCAGAGGGACCAGCAGGGGCAAAGGTCCTGAGGTAGAAGCATACTTGGAATATCTGAGGAACAGTCCAGGGGCCAGCATGGCTGGTGGGGGTATTAGAGGGAGAAGGGGAGGAGATGAGGTTGGGGAGGTTGACAAGGGCCAGAATGCAGGACCTTGAAGGCAATGTAAAGCATGTGCAATGTACTGAGTGAGATGGGAGCCATTGAAGGGTTTGATCAGAGAGGTGGCCTGCTCTGATTTCTGTTTTAAGAGGATGACTCTGATTGCCATGTGAACAGAGTAGCCCTGGAACAGGGTGGAGGCAAGGAGCCAGGGAGAAGTCTGTTAGGAAGGTCCAGGTGAGGGATGACAGTGGCTTAGTCGGGTGGTGCCGTGGGGGTGGTAAGTGCTCAGCTTCTGGATATATTTTGAGGGTAGAACTGACAGGCTTGCTTACGAATTGGGTGTGGAGTGTGAAAGAGAGGAGCCAAGAATGACCCCAAGGTTTAGTTCTGAGCACCTGTAAGGATGGAGTTACCTTAAACTGCGATGGGGTAGATGTGGGAGTGGCAGGTTTGGAGGGAATTAAGAGTACTGTGAATAAGCATGAATAAATGAACGAAAGTGAACAAATGAATCATTGAATGCCTTCTTTCTCCGAGGTTCACGCCTCTCCCGCCAGCTTATTTGCCTGGGGCCAGCGCCGGTACTCCCCTCAGAAAAGGAGATAGCGGTTCCTTTAAGAGGACACCACGAAGCCCCGCCCAGAGAGGGTCACGTGTCCCTCGGCCCCGCCTAAGGGGAAGGCTTCAGGGCGGTTTGAAAGCCTGGCGCGCTCCGCGAGAGGCGCGGTTCGGCCTGCGGTTAGGATGTCGGTGTTGAGGCCACTGGACAAGCTACCTAAGCTGAACACGGCCACCATCTTGGTAGGTCGCTTCCCCTGCCCGCCTTCCCTCTTTGGCTGCGTCTTGGCCGCCCTTTCGTCTGTGCTGAGGTGCTGGCGCGCGCCATTCCGGCTGATGGGGGGGGAGGGGACGGGTGAGCCACGCTCTAAACCAATCGGCGTGGCCGCTCTCTGAGGCGGCCGGTCACCTCCACCAATCCCGGCTTCTGGTTGGTGGGGTGGGTGGGCGGTGCCCAGCGGGGACTGATTTTCCGCCGTCGCAAGTCCGGCGGCCAGAGGACGGGCGGGGCCGGCAGGTTCCTCTGTGTAGACACGACCCGAGCCGGGCCAGATGGTCGCCCACCTCAGGCCCTCATCCTGATCCCTCCTCGCGGGAGTTTTCTTCTCAGTAGTTGACGCCCTCCCAGGCGGGGCGGAAATCCAGGTGTCGCGGCCGCAGTCGGTCGGCTGTAGCCGGATTCCCGGGAGTGGTCGAAAGTGACTGCCGAGCCCGGGCATCAGTCGGTCGCCTTCTTTCTCTGGGCAGCTGGTGAGCACGGAGGATGCTCTTCTGCAGCAGCTGGCGGACTCGATGCTCCGGGAGGATTGCGCCTCCCAGCTGAATGTGTAAGTAGCTGAGAAGGGCCATGTCCCTCTGCTGGTCTGTGGCCTTAACTCTGGCCTGGGCGTGGGGGAGGCAGGAGGCGGGCCGCAGGTGGGCCGGTTAGCTCACCCCTCCATCTAACACAGGTCTCACGGTTCATCCTTGTTGTAGGATGTATCAGAACTTCATTCTTTTGTGAGTGCGTAATATTCCATTTTGTGCATGGACTACATTTTGTTGATTCATTCATCTGTTGCTGGACACATGGGTTGTTTCTACTTTTTGGTAAACTTTGGTGAACCTAAACGTCACAGTCCAACATGGCCTCTTCTGAGCCTGGTCTCCATCCCAGCATGCAATGTGGCTGCTAGACCCCATGCCACTTGACATCCAAACCTCCCTCTTGCAAAGGCAGTTACTAACAGAGCTCATGTCTGGCAGAGGGAATCAAACAAGAGCGATCTGGACAGGACAGCTCTCAATGGGTCAGCGGCTGCCATGTCCTGTTTAACAACATTCAACAGATATAGAAAACCAAAAAACTTGTTGCCGTCGAGTCGATTCTGACTCGTAGCAACCCTGTAGGACAGAGCAGAACTGCCCTATAGGCTTTCCAAGGAGCGGCTGGTGGATCTGAAGTGCCAACCTTTTCGTTAGCAGCCGTAGCACTTAACTACCACGCCACCAGGGCTCCAACAGATATAGAGGGCCTCCTAAATGTCCAGCACAGGGCACAGAGGATAAAACAATGAGCCAGACAGATACGCACATTCCCTGTCTTCATGGAGCTTATCAGTCTAGCAGGGAAGATGGTGTTATGAGGGAGAAGTATAGGCTGCTGTGAGTGTAAAAGGAAGGACCTAAGCAGGTCTTGACAGGGGTGATGTGTTGCTATAGTGTCTGATACCTTGCTTCCCAGGTATAAAGCAGTTATAACAGTTTTCCAGGTTCCACTGGTCTTGGTGAGAGCCCGAATTTCCTGTCCCCCAGGTCTCTGTTAGCTCTAGCAGGTGTCAGAGCAGTCTGGGAGGTGACCATGTTGGTATGAGTTGCTCTTAGAATGGGATTGGGCAGAGTAGGAACTGGTGTGAGTGGAGGTACCAGCCCCGCCCTCTTCTGTGCTCACCTAAGAGCGTCAGATGACCGGGTGAGGAGTCCCTGATGGCCTCCTGCCTAAGGGCGGTGTGTGAATGATCACTGGGAGGTGGGTATGTATATCTCTAGTCCTGTAATTTCTTGTTTTTCAGCCACTTGGCAAAGTCCCTCCCTCTGCCCTCCAATGTGACTCGGCCCCGAATTGACCTGATTGTGTTCGTAGTGAACCTTCACAGCAAATACAGGTGAGAGCCAGAGGATGGGAGCTGTCAGGGCTCGGGGTGCGGGGACAGTGACCTCACTTATGATGGGAAGGAGAGGAAGCTGCCTGGGGCTAACCTAGATGGTGAGGAAGGAGGGGCTGCTAGGCCAGTGTGCAGTGTGTAAAAGTCGCTGATAAATTCTGGCAGTGTCATCTGTTTGTTTGGCTGATGCTTTCTGAGGCCTGCTTTGTATGCCTGACACCAGCCTCAGGGTTGAACGAGACAGACCCCTTGTTTGCAAGGGGCTCCTTGTCCAGTGGGGAGGAGGCCAGACTTCTGAACAGTGACAGCACCTGGGAGCTGTACTGTAGAAGAAGGAAGCATTGGGCTGGGAGTCCAAACAAGACATCTGATTCCCAGGAGTTAGGTCTGGGAGGTCAGGGTAGACTTCGTGGTGGACTTTGTGGTCTAAATCGACACCTGAAAGATGAGAAGGAGTTAACCAGGTGAAGGTGGGAGTGAGCAGAATGTTCCAGGCAAAGGGTTAGTATAAAGGCTAGGAGAGGAAGGAACAAAGTGTGTTTGGAGGACTGTTAAGGCTTTTGTTAGGTTGGGAGCCTGGTCTAGTTTGGGGGCCCTGGTAGTGGCAGCAGGAGTGGGTGATGCCTGTGGCCCAGCCTGGCCTCCTTGCGGGTTCTAGGAACCCTGGGACGGGACTGCAGCCAGCCCCGAGGAATACAGAAGTAAGGTCTACCCTCTCCCCCCGTCCTGGGGCACGGCTCGCTAGGGTTAGGCTGGGGCTCAGGGTCCAGCATAGAAACCACAGCAGATATCTAGTCATGTGGTGGGGCCTAAGGGAAGACTGTGGCAGAAACACTGGAAACCCAGGGGCATGGAGGCATCAGGTACAACAGGAGTTAAGTCCAGACCTCATGACCTGACCAGGTGGACTAGACAGCAGCGGCCCTGGCCCCGATGGGGTGAGGAAACACTGAGCTCTGCTGTGGTTGCCACAGTGTTCTGGCTCATCAGATCTGCTGCTTTTTGGATAAGGCCCCTGCTCTCTGGAAGGGCCACTGACCCGGCCTTTGGACGGTCCTGCTCCACAGCCACACTTAGGGGCAAGGCCCCTATTTCCCATCCCCACCTCTTTGCTGTTGGCCTCAGGCCTCATTCTGACTAAGACGGCTTTTTGGCCAGGAGATGGCAGACTGCTTCATCAGCTTGGACATCAGTGAATGAACGTCTCGGCCCAGAAGGTCAAAGTGTCCCTAGTGTTGGGGAAAGGGTATTTTCATACAGTTGGCATAACTGTAGGTCACTATAACCTTATTGGAAAGCCATTTGGCAATACCTGTCAATATTGAAAGGAGTCCCTGGGTGACACAGACAGTTAAATGCTCAACTACAGGGTACTAGTTGAAAGGTTGGCTGTTCGAACCCACCCAGAGGTCCCTTGGAAGACAAGCCTGGAGATCTACTCAAGATCACAGCCTTGAATACTATGGAGCAGTTCTACTCCGCACACATGGGGTCTCCATGAGTGGAGATCGACTGGAAGGCAGCTAACAACACAGCATCTGAAAGGTCAGCTGTTCTGCTTCTGGGATCTGTCCCACAGAAGGATTCGCTTGGATGTGCAAGGGTACATGTGAAAGAATGTTCCTGGCAACATTCTTGTAAGGGTGGAAAATTGAAGATCACTGATGGAAACCCTGGTGGCATAGTGGTTAAGAGTTTGGCTGCTAACCAAAAGGTCTGCAGTTCAAATCCACCAGGCGCTCCTTGGAAACCCTATGGGGCAGTTCTACTTTGTCCTATAAGGTCGCTGTGAGTCAGAATCGACTCGATGGCAACGGGTATGTCCGTCACTGGGAAAATGGTTAGATCATGGTACACTGTGAGGTCATTGTACCTACCTGGAAGGAGTCACTGATAGGCGGTTGAGTAAAAGAAGGCAAAGTGTAAACTAATATATTAATAGAATTCCACTTGTGATGTTAAAAACGAAAAACTCAACTAGACACTTATACATATCCCTGTCTCTATTTATATATGAAAAAAATTCTAGAAGTTCTAAACTGCTGGCGGCAGTCACGTCTGGGGAGTTGGGAGTGAAGGGTGGTACTAAGAGAGGGGGACTGTTCTTAACTACATATCCATATTTACTATTCGATTCTTTTGCAAGCATGAATTACTATGTAATTAAAAGTAATTTAAAAAATTAGAAGACTAAGGCTTGCTCCAGGGCTGTTTCCTGTGGTCTCCCCCGTCGCATTCTAGGGCCTTTCTGGCCTCAGAGGAGTGGGGTATTCTTCTTTCTCTGGTGTAAGGTTTTGTCCTCTGGTTTATTCTCTCGCCCTGGCCTGACCACCAGCCTCCAGAATGTCGAGGAGTCCCTGCGCCACGTGGATGCCAGCTTCTTCCTGGGGAAGGTGTGCTTCCTGGCCACAGGCGGTAAGTGCGTCCCTTTCCTGGCACTGCCCACCCCATCCCTGACCTTTGCCCCAGGAGGGCTGTGCAGAAGCAGCCTGGGGGATGGAAAGGATGGCACCTGCTGCTTTCCATCTTTCCAAAAGCTACTCTGAGCAGGTAATACGGCTGCTGCTTCCCGCTGCCTAGTGGCCCCCTGTGGCTTTCAGAGTGAAATCCAAACTCCTGGAAAGTCACAAGATACTGTGCAGTTTGGCCTCTCCCTTCCTGTCTAGTCTGAACCTCCTACGTCACCTGTCCTTTGGGCCAGCTTGTAGTTCCCTAAACAAGTCCTGCTGCTCTAAGCCTTTGTCACGCTGACAGTGGAAATATCAATAGCTAACCTCGACGGAGAGTCCCTGGGTGGCGCACATGGTTAAGTGCTTGGCTACTAACTGAAAGATTGGTGGTTCAAATACAATCAGAGGCACCTCAGAAGAAAGTCCTGGCGATCTACTTCTGAACAATCAGCCACTGAAAACCCTATGGAGCACCATTCTACTCTGACACACATGGGGTGACCATGAGTGGGAATCAGCTCAACAGCAAATGGATTTTTTTGTTTGTTTGCTTTGGGTTTTTAACCTTTACTGAGCACTCACTATTAAAGCTGAGAAAACTGAGGTCACAAAGTTGAGTAACATGCCCAAGGCCACATAGCTAAAAAGGGGTAGGTTCACACCTAGGTAGTGTACTCCAGAACACATGCTCTTAATGATTACACTGTGGCTTCTCTCAAATACGTTTTTGCTATTTGTCTAGCTAACCTCTACCAATACCTCCAAACACAGCTTCACTGTCACCTCTTGGGGGACTCCTCCCTGCCCAGTCTGTCTCAATGGCCTCCTGTCTGTCAGAGCACTCCCACACTTACACTGTCACCGACTGGTGTCTGACGGGTCGGCCTCCCCAGCGGAGCTGGGAGCTCCCTGGGGGTGGGGAGGAGGGCTGGCACAGATTATCCTCAGTAGGCTTTGGTGAACAAAAGAATGCCAGGGAATTCCTGTATAGTAATTCACGAATCTTTACGGTTACTCAGGGCAGTAGGGGCTACCATTATCCTCACTTTTTAGTTAAGGAGCCTCAGGTTCTTATAGAACACTTTCTCCAAGTGATCTTGATCTTCCTGACTGCCCTGAAAAGAAAGTAGAACAGGATGACCAGCCCATTGACTAGAAAGAAGCTGAGGCCCAGAGAGGGAAAGTGAGTTATTTGCCTGAGCTCCGTGGCTCACAGCTGTAAAAGTCTAGGTGGTCGTAGCAGCCTCTTGTAGCACTCACAGCTTCTTTGCAGCTGGACAGGAGAGTCGCTGCAGCATCCACCACAACACCGTCGTGACGCTGGCCCACACCTACCGCAGCCCTCTGCTCTTCTGTGACCTGAAGGTGAGGACCCACGTGCGGGTGGACAGGGACTCGCGGGTGGGGCAGGGCCGGACAGCTCCAGCAGGCTTGTTGGGAGTGTTGACTGAAGGGCTGTAGGCCACCAAGTGAGGTGGCTCCCACTGTGGAGACACAGATGCTGGTTTGAATCCTGGCTTCTCCATTCTGTGGGCGGGTCACCCTAAGCCTCAGGGTACACACGTGTAAAACGGGGGTACCTCTTAGGTGCCAGGCTCTATCACTTGCTGCCTTGCTTTTTCTTTAGCTTGGTTTTCTCTGCACTTGTAACTAGGTCTCGTGTGTGTGTTTGTGGGCCATGTTAATATTGCACTCTTCTACTAGGTATAAGTGCTGTGAGCTGGGCACTGTGTCCATCTCATGAACCAGTACATCCTCCTGTCCACCTGGCAGTCAGGTGCCTAATGTCCCCCTTACCTCCCTGGGTGGCAGAACTTCTCGGATTCATGCTTGTGTCCCAGTCCCAGCCCAGGTCTCCTAGTCACACAGTTAATAAGGAGGTGGTAGGGCCAGCGGGTTGGTATGCACCTCTGTCTCTGCTTTGTAGCCTCTTTTTGTGTGGCCTTTAACAAGTTGCTTCCCTCCCCCACCGCCTTAGTTTTCTCTTTTGTGAAAGGGAATCATCATCTTCCCTCCACATCTCAGATGCGTATGGGTGGCCGTTTAGCTGGCTGTGGTGCCAGATAAAGTAGGCCTGATGGTGCAGCAGCTGATCGCTCGGCTGCTAACCAAAAAGTCAGCAATCTGTACCTACTAGCCACTGCAGAAAGGTGTGACAGTCTGCTTCTGTAAAGATCATGGCCTTGGAAACCCTATGGGGCAGTTCTGCTCTGTCCTACAGGGTCACTAGGAGTCGGAATCAACTGGATGGCCATGGGTTCGGTTTTTGTTTTTTTTAGTGCCAGCTAACCCACGAGCCCACCACAGTGGTTAAGCTCTCTGCTGCTAACCGAAAGGTCAGCAATTTGAACCCACCAGCTACTCCACGGGGGAAAGATGTGGCAATCTGCTTCCATAAAGATTTACAGTGTTGGAAACTCTCTGGGGCAGTTCTACTCTGTCCTATAGTGTCACTATGAGTTGGAATCGACCTAAGGGCAATGGGTTTGGTTTTGGTTTGGTAACCCATGAGGGTGGTACAGTTCTGTGTGTGGCCACAGGGTGGCAGACCATACCAGGCCCATGTTCTTGTCAAGCCTGAGAGACCGTCTCTCAGGAAAAGGCCTGTTGGGCCCCCTGGCCAACTGTCTTGGGAAGCAGGAGGCCCCATGTGGCCCAGCAGCAGAAACTCCTGCTCAGAACATAGGCCTGGGCTTCCGTCAGGTGAAACCCTCGGTGTTTGGACAGTCCTCACTCCTCCTATCTGTGCTGTTCTTTTCAGAGCATGCTCCTACAGGTGTGAGCCTGGCCTGCGTCACAGGAACCATCAGCCCCGTTACAGATGAGGAAGCCGTGATGGTTAAGGTTGTATGTCAACTTGGCTGGGCCATGATTCTCAGTGGTTTGATAGTCGTATGATGTTGTGATCACTTCCATGATGAGATTTGATATTATGTGATCACCTGCATGATGGGATTTGCTGTAAGTAGCCAGTCAGTTGAAAGGGAGTTTCCTTGGGGCATGTGGCCTGCACTGAATATAAATGGATATTCTGGCAAGGCTTGTGGGCTGTTGCTTGTTCTGGATCCTACAGCTGCCTCCTGTTCATCTGACCTCTGGTTCTTGGGACTTGAGCTAGCAGCTTACCTACAGTCTTATCTTCCGATCTTGGGATTCATTGATCTTTGCAACCTGTGAGCAAGAGCCCTACTCTCTGACCTGCTGATCTTGGGTTCACCAGCCCCTGCGCCTGCATGAATCAGGAGAAGCCTCTATCCTGACCCACAGACTTGGGACATTTCAGCCTGTACAACTGCGTGAGCCATTTCCTTGATATAAAATCTCTCTCTATATATATTTATATGCTTTACTGGTTCTCCTTCTCTAGAGAACCCAGCCTAAGACAGATGCGCACTCAGGGAGGGGTGTGATTTGCCAGTGAGATCCCTTCCTAGGCCCCGTGCTGGTCCCTGGGGACACAGATGACTCAGATAGTGCCCGCCCTCTCAGAATGCAGCGAGATAGACAGGTGTGACGATGCCACAGCGGAAGGGTGTACAGGCTTTGGAAGGCCTGCAGTTAATGGGGCAGAGGGACAGTGTGGTCAGACTTGTCCCTAGAGTGTGATCTGTGGGCTGGAGGAGGCCCAGCCAGAGGCAGGGAGCTGGGGCTGTGCCGAGGCGGGCGCAGAGCCTGAGCTAGAGCAGGCACAGCCTGGAGATGTCTCAGAGGCAAAGGCCAGAGAACTTGGGGTGAGAGGGTTTATTCTTCAAATACTTCTTGCACATCTGCAGTGTGCCAAGCACTGTTCTAGGCACCAGGGATACAGCATAAGACAAAACAGTAAATAAAATCCCCTTCTCGTGGAGGAAACAAACAAGGTTAAGAAGTAGAAGGCGTAGTACGTTAGAAAACGGGCCAGTGACATGTCAGGTACCATTTAGATAGGATGACCAGGGAAGGCCTCACTGAGAAAGCGACTTTCAAATAAAGACTTGAAGGCAGCAAGAGAGCAAGCTGTGGAGATAGCTGGTAGAAGAGCACACCAGGCAGGGAAACAGCAAGTGCAAAGGCCCTGAGGTTGGAACTTGCCTGGTGTGTTCAAGGTCCAGCAAGAAGGCCTGGGTGCTACAGCAGAGTGAAAAAGGGACAGGGTAGTGGGAGGTGAGTCAGAGCATAAAAACCCCGTTGACATCGAGTCGATTCTGACTCATAGTGACTCTGTAGGACAGAGTAGAACTGTCCCATAGGGTTTCCAACACTGTAAATCTTTACGGAAGCAGACTGCCACATCTTTTTCCCACAGAGTGGCTGGTGGTTTTGAACTGCTGACCTTTTGGTTAGCAGCTGAACACTTAACCACTACACCCGCAGAGCTCCTTAAATCCGAGTATAATGGGGGCAAATCACAAGGGCCTTGTGGGTCACAGGAAAGGTGTGGTGGCTTTTACTTTGAGTAAGATTGAAGTTGTCAAGGATTTCATTTTACTTGGCTCTACAGTCAACACCCATCGAAGCAGCAGTCAAGAAATCAAACGACAAATTGCACAGGGCAAATCTGCAAAAGACCTCTTTAAAGTGTTAAAAAGCAAAGATGTCACCTTGAAGATTAAGGTGCGGCTGACCCAAGGCATGGTGTTTTCAGTCTCCTCATATGCATGCAAAAGCTGGACAATGAATAAGGAAGACTGAAGAAGAATTGACGCCTTTGAATTATGGTGTTGGTGAAGAATACTGACTATACCATGGATTGCCAGAAGAATGAAGGAATCTATTTTGGAAGAAGTACAGCCAGAATGCTCCTTAGAAGGGAGGATGCCAAGACTTCATCTCACATACTTTGGACATGTTATCGGGAGGGATCAGTCCCTGGAGAAGGACATCATGCTTGGTAAAGTAGAGGGTCAGCAAAAAAGAGGAAGATCCTCAACAAGATGGGTTGACACAGTGGCTGCAACAACGGGATCAAGCATAACACTGATTGTAAGGATGGTGCAGAACTGGGCAGTGTTTCATCCTGTTGTACATGGGGTCCCTGTGAGTCGGAACCGACTCGACAGCACCTCACAGCGATAACAATATGGGAGCCACTGAAGGGGTTGGAGCCTGGCGGGGATGCAGCCCTACTTGGGTTTTAATTGGACCCCTCTGGCTGCTAAGAGGAGGGTAGACTGAAGGGAGGCCAGGGCAGAAATGGGGAGATAGGTTCAGAGGCCATTTCAGGAAGAGTTAAGAGTGTCCTGGGCCAGGTGGTGGCTGGGGAAGAGGTGATGGTCTACAGTTCTGGGTGTTTCCAGGGTGGAGTCAACAGAATGCGCTGGTGGCCAACACACGACCTGTGAGGGAAAGAGGAGTCAAGGACGACTGAGGGTTTCGGCCTGAGCCCTGGGAAGGATGCAGGGGGAGCAGGTTTTGGGGGGACTCTCAGGGGCTCCAATTTAGCCAAGCTAAGATGAAGATGTCTCTCAGACATCCGAGTGGAGAAATAGAGGCGGGTCAGGTGTGCATGTGTCTGAAATTCATGGAAAGATCTGAGCTGGAGACGTGATGGGGGAGCCATCACACTTAGGGGGTTTTAAAGCCGTGGAACTGGGTGAGGTCACCGAGGGCAGGAGTGTGGGTGTGAGGTCCAAGGCTAGGACCTGGGGCACCCCGGCAATTAGATGTTGGGGTGAAAAGGAGACAGCGGCTTGTGAGGTGGGAGGAGAGCCCGGGTGAGTGTGGGATCCTAAAAAAATAAACCAAAAAATTTGCCATCAAGTTGATTCTGACTCACGGTGACCCCGTATGTGGCAGAGTAGAACTATGCTCCATAGGGTTTTCGGTGGGTGATTTTTGCCAGGCCTTTCTTCCAAGGCACCTCTGGTGTATTCAACCTCTCAGTAGTCGAATGTGTTAACCATTTGCGCCACCCAGGGACCCCGGGGTCCTGGAACCCGAGTGGAAAAGAATTTCAAGAAGGAGGGAGGGAGCAGCTGTGGCAGATGCTGCCGAGAGGGCCAGCAAGCCAAGGACTGCAAAGTTACCACTGAGTCCGTACCCCAGGGGTCATGGGTGACAAGTGGCAGGATAAGAGCTGGAGGATCCTGGCCCAGGACATCCCACTTTCTAGTTTGAGTGATGGGGCAGATGGCGCGCCCTCCTTCTCCCAGCTGGAGAGGGAATGGGCAGGCATCTGAGCATTATCATTTGCTCTTCCAACAAGTGTTTCTAGACCGTCTCTTATTTGTCTGGCACTAGCAGTGCCAGGGCCTAGAACTGTCTTGTTGCCCCGCCCAGCCCCAAGGCTCCCCTGTGCCTGCTAAAGCTCATGTGAGCTGCCTCTCCTGGTAAGGGCCTCTCTCTGCCCTCCCCTCCTGCCCATCTCTTGGTCCCAGGTCTGTGAGCCTTTGGGCCGTGCAGCCTGGGCATGGTTGGGGCTGGCCCAGTTCAGTCCCCAACTCTGCAGTCACTAACTGTATGACCCTAGATGGTTTCCTTAACCTCACCAGCCTTGCTTGCTCGGCTCCATTTCCTCTCTGGAGGCCATTTGAAGGATTTGGCGAGCTAAGGTTTGGAAGTTGCTTCGTGAGGTGTGATGTGAAGAGGGCAGGTTGGGGGCATGGCCGGAATGGGCAGCAGAGCTCTGAGCAGCCTCATGGTGCCCAGCTCCTGTGCCCCTGGTGGCCTGTGCAGCCACTCTGGTGGCAGGGAGTAGGGTAGGCCCCTAACCTGTCTCCCTGCTGTCCTCTGCTCTCCCCCTGCAGATGGAAGACTTCCGGGTCACCATGGCACAGCGCCTGGTGCGGATGCTGCAGATCTGCGCCGGCCACACGCCTGGCATCTCGGCCCTGAGCCTGCTGTCCCTGCTGCAGAGCCCTGAGAGTCCCTCCCTGGAGGACCTGTGAGGCCACCAAGCAGGCTGCCCTCCCCACGACTCAGTGTCTAGGCAGCTCGAGAAACACTTAGCCGTGGTGGAGCCCATGGCAGGGTCTGGCAGGCCTGGGGCAGCCAGTCCCCTGGTTTTCCAGATGCCCCGCAGGGCGGGCTCCTCTGAGCTGTGGCAGGGAGGGGAGAACAGGAGGAAGGAGCCCAGCTGGCAGCGCCATCCCCCCCACTGCCCCCACTCCAGCAGAGCCCGTGTCTTTACCCGCCTGACATGTTACGCTTCCACTTAAGATTTCACTCGAACAAAGGGTCTGTGGCTAAAAACAGTTTGAAAATCACTGGTCTCCTCCACCGCTTTGATTTTGCAGATGAGGAAACTGACTCAGAGCAATTAAGAGCGGGATGGGGTGGAGGAGCTTGGACTGCACCAGCCCCATCTGCCTGCGCGGCCTGGCCCTGCTATTTCTGTGACTCCTGGTTGTTGGCTCTCACAGCCTCAGTCTCCCCATGTGTAAAACGGAGATTGTTCTGCTTACCTTGTCAGGTTGTGAGGATTGGATGAAATGATAGAGGCGATGTGCCTAGGACTGTGTTACTCCCTGTGCTCATTTGTATGCCTGCTCTGTTCTGTAATTTCATAATAAACCTTGTTAATGCCCAGCACAGGCTCAGGCAAGCCCTCTGTGGGTAGTCACTGTTACATGAAATCACAGGCCCAGGTCCCAACACTGGCCTCAGCATTTGGTGAGTGGGAACCACGCCACCAACCTTGTGTATCTGTGATAATCACGTGAGAGATGAGGCTGAGGGCTGGCTTCAGGGTTGGCAGCGAGACATGCAGTGACAATTGCTTTCCTCCTCCTTCCGCTCTAATTGGGAATTTGTGGAAGCATTGGTGCTGGAATCTAGAAATCCTGTCAGCCTGGTCGGGGCTCCTGCCACTCCACGGTGGCAGGCTTGGCATATGGGGGAGGGGGAAGGGGTCTGGTGGCTCCTTCCCCGCCAGCACGAGGGCCTGCCTAGCATGCTCAGGCTGCAGGACAGTCCCTGCTAGAGGCCCTCCAGGGCCAGCACCCCAGGGCGTTGGCTTTAGCATCACCATTGTGGCCAGGGCTCTTCCCAGCACCAGAGAAGGCTCTTCGTGAAGGACAGGTCAGCTGCTGACTCCCTGTAGACGTCCTGAGGGATGCTTTCTCCTTCCTGTCTCCTCACTCCAGGTGCCTTCCAGAGCCTCACCCGGCACCCCCATCCCTCGGTGCTCAGTAGGTGCTATAGACGCTGGCTGTCCCTGAGGCGGCCCCTGGGGCCCCACCGAGCACCAGCGTAGACTCCAGTGAGCTCCCATCACTGATGTTTGCGGGACATGTCATGCTTTACAGAGCTTTTCTCACACAGCAGCGGCTCCTGTTATCCTCCCAACAGCCCTGCGAGGCTGATTGTGTTTCCCCATTTCACAGTTGATGAAACTGAGACTTGTAGTAAGAAGTGCGTCCACCGTCCCAGCTGGTCAACAGCAGAACCCAACCCTGGCCCACTGCTTTTCCCTCCAGTCACCTTCCTGTGTATCTTCGTTGTTGAACAGAGGCGCCGGCTTCTCCACTGGGCAGGCCCTCAAAAGCAGCGTCTGGCAGGGCCTCATAAACCCCACTCCCCATCCTGGGCTGGGCCTTGGGACAGGCTGCTGGGGCACCACCAGCACAGAGGGGAGTTTAGGGGGCGTAGAGGGCTGAGGCAGGCTTCATGGAGGAGAGGGCTGGTGAGCAGGGGCAGGGCAGGGGCCCCAGGCCAAGGTAGGGGGAGTGGCTGGTGCCACAGGACACGGGGGCAGATGTGAGTGCAGGGCTTGAACAGGCCCATGGCTGGCAGCAAGGAACTCCCTCAGTGTTTGCAGGGGGGCCAGCTTCTATGCTGAACGGGTGGGATCCCAGGCTGGAGGTGAGGTGAAGGTCAGCGCTGATCCCCAAGGAGATGGGCAGTATTGGCAGAGGCCCTTCTCAGAGGGCCAGCAGCTCCTGGGAACTAGCATTGGTGGTGGAGACGGCCCCAGGCCTGAATGGTGCCCGCAGTACCTGCAGCCCCTCAGTAGCCTGGGCCACAAAGGGCAGACTTTGCAGGGGCAGTGGAGGTTGGGGTCCACAAAGAGAAGGAAGGTAGTGTGTGCGTGCTTGCTGCTCTTCTGGGCACCCCACTGTTTTTTCTGGAGTCAAGGGGAGGCCCTCCCCCCCAGCCAGCATGGGGCACACCTCTCAGGCCCCTATACCACGTTCTCTTTGCCACCTGGTCCCATTTAAGAAGAGAAGTGGCATCACATTCCCCAGATGAAGGTCTGGGAGCCTTCCAAGTGCTGTGGGAACAAGATGCTGTCACTGCTGCCAGCTCCAGCTGAGCTTGCAGGGGCCCTTGAACCAAGAGCCGCCCCTTTGGGACTGGGGGCTGGCTGGGCCTTGTCTCACAGCAGATCTAAGCAGCACTTAAAAGGTGGTCAGGTAGCCCCTCAGGCCTGCTGTCCCAGGGCAGCCCCTCAGACATGTCCCCAGGTGGCCTGGGACCGTGGCTGCTTCTCAGCTTTTGGAGCCAAGGGCTGGATGGAGGCCAGCAAGACTGTCCAGGAGGGAGTTTGAGGGAAGAGATGGGAGACCATCTTTATGCAGCAACGGTGTGCCTGGAAGTGGTGCTGAGGCGAGGTGGAGGGCGATGGGAGAAGCCAGGCTAGGCTGCTCACTGATCACATGACCTCACACAGGTCACTGTCCTTGCTGAGACCCAGTTTCCTCATCTCAGTGGGGTCAGGCTAATTAATGCCTTTCTCCCCAGCTAGTTGTGAGGATTGAGAGTAAGGAAGCCTTTTTTTTTTTTTTTTTAAATAAAGCTTTAAGCAAATGTAAGACCTCTCAGACTGGTCGTGGTCATGCTGGGTGCAGTTCTTGAGGGTGGGCAAGGACCCCATGGCTGCGGGTCTCCGTGAGCCTCTTAGGTGAGCACTGGCAAAGGTGGTATGTGGGCCCCCCTACAAAGCTGAGGTGTCTGAGGCTCTCAGAGGGGTCCGGGTTCATTTGTCCCTCAGGCCACCTGCTGTAGGCAGCTCCAGGGCCCACCCAGGGGAGCTCACCTCTAGCGGCAACCCAGGCCCAAGTGTTCTGGCCCCAAATCTGACGGCCAAGGAGCAGCCCTTCCTAGCGAGGAGGGGCTCTGTGGCATGGCGCCTTGTCTCCTCCACCCCTCAGCAAGCAGACGAGCAGCCTGCCTGTGACGAAGGCAGGGGCACCCAGGCCACAGAGGGGAAGTGGTGCAGTGGGAAACGACCCAGCCTTTGAGTCTCACCAACCTGGGGTCTGCGGCAGCTCACTTCCCCTCTCTGAGCATCACTTGCCTTCTCTGCCTCTTGAGGCTTCTTGTGAGGCTCAGTGAGAAACTGAGGAGCCTGGCAGGTGTCTGACCCAGTGTTTGCCCTGCACAAATGGTGGCCCTGAGGTCAACTGTGTGGCAGGTGAGGTGAGCCTTCCTGGGACAAAGCCCTGCCACACCTCCTCCCCATGCCTTACAGGCCAAAGGGCTGTGGGGCCAGGCCTGAGTCCCTTTCTGGAAGGTTCCTGCTGGCTCAACCCCGCCTTCCCTCTCAGGCTCCCCTGGGGCCATAGAGGGCAGGTGGAATCACTGTGAAAGGACTTGTCACAAGCACTTGGAGAACCAAGGGGCAGAGGAGGGGCCAAGGCAGGCAAAGCCGAGAGCCCTACATGAGTGTGACCCCCTGGACCCCGGGCCACTGAGAACCAGCTCTAGGAGGAAGAGGGGGTGGGTGGTCCCTGTGCCCCTGACCTGGACGGGAGGCAGCCTTCCTTGGACCACCGTACATCAGAACGTCAGCAACATTTGGGGGTGGAGGCCTGGGAGCTAGCATTTGGTGAGTGCCTGGTCTGACTACATAACAGCCTTGCAAGGCCACGCCCAGAAGGGGGTGTCCCCTGAACTGGGTCCACTTCTACTGTGCTTGGCGACAGGGCAGTATCTCCTGTGAGGGGACGAAGGCTCTTCAAGGGCTGGACCTGAACCACTACTACCCCGTCTGCAGACAGGGAGAGGACCCCACAGATGTGTGGAGCCTGGGAGAGCTCGGGCTGAGGGGATGCCTGGCTTTGAATGGCTGTGCAGGTCCCTTATCCTCTCTGAGCTGGCTTTCTCCTGTTTAAATAGGAATAGCAGTGCCACCTCCCCCACAGGGCTGGGGCGGGCCAGTGACGTGCGGGGCACAGGGCCAGACAGGTGGTGAGACTCTGTACTGTGCACTGCCATTTTCCTGGTTGCTTCTGCTGTTCCCTCAGCCTAGTATGCTCCTCCCCAGACAGCCTCAGGGATGATAGAAGGTCGCCTCTCCCCAGGCCGTCCCTGACTCCCTGGCCCCCTCCCTCCTGAATTTTTCTCACAGCACTTCTCACCTCCTCACCTACTGTATTGTTTTACCTGTTTATTTGGTTTTTGTCTCTGTTCCCTGCCATTCCGAGAAGCTAGAGCACACAGTAGGTGCTTAGTAAGGATTTGATGACTTGGAGGAGGTGTTGGCCTGCAGGGGGCCCAGAGCCCAGGTCTGGATGTGAAAGTGCTCTGATAGCCAGATGGGGTTGGGGGGCTCCTGAACACATTCTCAGGAAAAAGCCCCGCAAACAATACAGAAGCGTGCTGAGTAAGGTGGCATTTTCCACCCTCCCCAGAGGGTCAGCCTCCAGCCTACCTCATTTATAACAGGGGTCAGGCCCCCTATTGTGGAGGTTCACACTTCTCATGGTATTTTCCTCTGATAAACAAGGACACCACTGGAAAGTCCCTCTTGCAGGGCCCAGTAGGAAGGGTGCAGTATCCAGACTGTGGACGTGGGGAGAGGGCCGGGAGGGGCCCCGAGAATCAGCACAAAGCCGCGGCGGGCAGAGCAGCGGGACTGACGCAGAGCGGCGGCCACTGGGCCCCACTGCCACCTCCCTCTCCTGAATCCAAACTACTGACGGGCAGGTAAGTGAAGTCAGGTTTCCAGAGGCCCACGCACGGCCCACTCTGCCTCCACACATTCGCACTCTGGGGGTTCCTGGTCTTCCATGGCGGGTCCAGAAACACTAGCTCCTCAGCCGCTCAGTAGCGGGGAGTGAAGTCCCAGCCCTGGGACCTGGTTCAGCAGTTCAGCCCGTGTTTGTCGGGACAGAGGCTGAGAGGGAGACCAGGTGGCGGGAGGGAGACAAACAGGGAGCGAAGGTCTCGGAGGTGTGTAGGCCTGCCTGGGGTGCCCCAGCCTCCTAGGGGCCACCTCTCCCTCAGGCCTCATTCAGGGCACCACACTAGGGGGACTGAGGAGCCACTTTACAAACGAGGTGCTGCCGGAGGCCTGACCCTCAGGATCAGGCTGAGGGAATGGGAAAGCGGAAAAGAACAAGTCACACTGCATAACCCCATTTATGAAACAAACACCCAACCATTTCTACGCGGCACGTACGTGAGAACAGAAAGGCGCAGAACGAGAATGGAGCGAGGGGCTCCACGGTGAAAACAGGCTCCCTCTGGGGAGGGTGGAAAATGCCCACTTTTACTCAGCACGTTTCTGTATTGTTTGAGGGGCTTTTTCATGAGAATGTGTTCAGGTCTTACTCGCATCACTACAAATAAAGCTCATTTCTGAGCATGAACCTCCCCCTGCTCCCAGAGCACTTTCACATCCAGCTCTGCTCTGCCCCTAGGGGCTGCCCCCTGATAACATGGAGCTTGTCCGATGGGTATAGCGTTTCCTCATCCCTGACCTTTCCCCCAGGCACGAAGGCTACAGGCCATGCTTCACGGTCCTGCCTTCTGGGCCAGAGCCTCAGCACATCTGCTTCTTTATCTGAAAAATGGGTGTCATAATTGTACCTGGGTCAGAAGGTGTTTTAGGGGGAATTTGGGGGGCAAAGATCAAGGGAGACTCCCTTCTCCCTGACAGGCCCCAAATTAATCATCTTTGTTAAAAACAAATCAGTGAGTGAAAAGTTGAGAACTCTGAGAAACATTCAGCTGGAAGGATTTTCAACCACCAAGTCCCTTGTTTTCTACCCAAGCATAGACTAAGGAATAAGCAAACATTTACCACGCTGGTCTGAGGGCAAAATCTCTCCTAGAATTGCTGAATGGTCCAAGGAGATTCCAGGCCTGGCCCCCGCCTCCACACACATACCATTTAGGTTTGTCTGAGCCAGGCACCTGCACATCCCCCCAACCCCCCGCCCAGACACCCTACAGGCCTCTGCTGTGCACTGTGCCCCCAGGCCTGGCGCACCCCGCCACACACCATTTAGGTTTGTCTGGGCCAGGCACCTGCACATCCCCCCACAGACACCCTACAGGCCCCTGCTGTGCCCTGTGCCCCCAGGCCTGGCCCTGTGTGGCACATGGTGTCGTTGTTAGGTGCCATCGAATCAGTTCCGATTCATAGCAACCCCATGTACAACAGAACGAAACCCTGCCTGGGCCTGCGCCATCCTCATAATCGTGGCTATGTTTGAGCCATTGTTGCAGCCACTGTGTCAATCCATCTCCTTGAGGATCTTCCTCTTTCTCACTCACTCTACCAAGCACAGTTGTTGTTAGGTGCCGTCGAGTCCGTTTTAACTCACAGCAACCGTATAGGACAGAGCAGAACTGCCTCCAAGAATGCCTGCGTCCAATGAGTGATTCTGCTTCTCTCCATCGAGGCAGCCCACCTCCCTCTCTCTGGCCAAGGTGCGTGGTGGACAGTGAGGCATAGCTCTCCTCCTCTTGCTGGGCCTGAGAGAGGCTCCTCCTGCTGCTGGAGAAGTCGCTGCCCCTGGTGACTGTTATCACCCCCCCATCCCCACCCCACCCCCAGGAGATCAGGCCTGGCTGCACTGGGCCACCCTCTCCCAGGGACAGGCTCCCTGCTCCTGGATGCCCACAAGCCTCAGCCTGCCTCTGCCCAAGGTCTGGCCGGAGGGTTAAATGAGGTGGTGTATGGAAAACTCGACCTGGCGCGCCTGGGCGTCAGGGTCTGGCTGCTCTGACAGTAACAGATAATAACAGTAGCACCTATAGTGATGGGGTGGCCCAGCCTTCCTGGCCCTGCCCCCCACCACTCCTAGAAGGGCCTTCTCTGCCCTGGCTACCCCCACCCCCTCAGCACACACCCACACTCACACCCACCATCCCAGGCCCACTTCTCCTTTGCAGCCGCCCCACCGCCTACACCTTCCTGCCACCGAGTTGCTGGCCCGTGGGCAGGGGAGGCAGAGGCAGTGGGCCAGGGACCCTCTAAGACTGGCAGGCTAGTAGTCCCCCGAACCAGAAACCTGGGCCTCAGCCTTGCTCCCCTCAGTCCATAGCCAGTCACCCCGTCCTTCTTTCCTCCTAAACCATTGCTGGGTCAGCCCCCTGCCCCTGTACCAGAAGTGCCCCTACACCTCTGTCGCTGCAGCAAATACCTCATGACCACCTCCACAAAGCCTTTCCGTCACTGTGGTGATGGCCTGCACCCATGAGGCCAGTATCCGGCTCCCGCCAACACCACCACGTGTGTCACTACCGCCAGCTTGGGGCCTGGTACTGAGTGGGGGCTCAGGAGGTGTTTGATGAACTGAACAAGCTCACAAAGGAGGTATGGGCAGGTAGGGTGGGGGGCACGGGTGGTGGGGGCTCCTGGGGCCACGGGCTGGCCTTGGTGAGGCAGAACAGAGGAGGCCACTCAGAGGTCTGTGTCCCGATTGCAGGGCCTGTCCCCTTTGGCTGCTCAAGAGCAGACCCTGCTCTGACCACCCAGCCGGGTCCCAGTGCCTGGCTGAGCGCCCACCCAGCAGGGATGCAGATGATGGTTCAGTGGTTGAATGGAGGAAGGGCAGGCGGACAGAGGAGGTCTGGGGTGCCGGCCCTGGGGCCCTGGCTAAGTGGTCCCACCCCAGCAGGCAGGGGGGCGGGGCAGGGGCGGGGTGGGTCTGTGGCCCCTCCCGATTTCCTCCCCGCCCGAGGGCAGACTCGGTCCCTGCATTGTGCTCGGCAGCCCAGCGTGATAGAGCTAGGAGCGAGGAGCATGGGGGGCAGGGACGGGCCAGAGCCCACCCTGTGCGGCCAGGCCGAGTGCTTCGACCGGCTGCTCCGCCTGTGTGTGGCCTGCAATCTCTTCCGGACGCCCGAGCCCAGCCCGGGTAAGGTCGAGGCCCATCTGACGGCGGAGGGACGGCAGAGCGGCCCCCGGGGAGGGAGCCATAGGGAGCGCCCCGACCTGCCCCAGCGCCCGTGGGGGCGACCGATTGATGGGGGCTTGTGGTCGGGGTGCTGCTGGGGACCAGCGGTCACTGCGTGACCCTCACCGTCTCTCTTCCCTCCCCGTGTCCCGTCTCCCCTTTCTACCCCCGCTGCCCTCCCTCCCCGGCCCAGCCTCGCCCCACTCCGGCCCTCCCCCTCCCCGGCTGTCCCTGCCTCCCGCCCCATGCCCGCCATCCCCGTCCCCTCCCTCAGCGGCCAGTGCGAGCAGCCCGGCGACCGGGACGGCGCTGCAGCCGCAGGAGTCTGTGGGCGCGGGTGCCTTCCCCCAGGGGGCGCTGCCACTGCCAGCGCTGCTCTTCGGCGCCCCCGCGCTGCTGGCGCTGGCGCTGGCCCTGGGCCTGGTGGGCCTGCTGAGCTGGAGGCGGCGGCGGCGCGGGGCGGTGCCCCTGGAGGCCCCGGACCGCGACCGCAACGGTGAGTCGGCGTCGAGGGGAACGGAAAGGCACTGCTCCATCTGCCTGAGGCCACAGTTCTGGGGCTGGAGCAGTCTAAGGGAGGAGACAGTGCCCTGGGTGGGGACAGTCTGAGCAGGAAAGCTGGGCTCTTAGGGGTAGGGGCAGTGTGGAAGGGAAAACACAGGCCGGAGGAGGAGCGGGATTAGTCTGAGGGGCGAAGCGCAGGTTGATGGGGGAGGAGAGACATGACCCTGCTGGTGGGGAAGGTCTGAAGGGGAGAAAGGGCTCTAAAGGATGGTGCAGACCAAGAGGGAAAAGAGCTTGCTCGGAGAACCTGGGCGGAGGGGGAGACATAGCCCTGCCCCTGAGACCCTACTCCAAGTGAGGGACACAGCTCTGCCCCCCATCCGAGTCTGAGGAAGAGACAACACTGGGGAGCCCAGTCTGAGGAAGGAGGCTGCTCTGCCCTCTGGGAGTCTGAGGGGCCTGGTCATGCATCTCTGTGGGACAGCCAGCCTGGGCTCCCCCACTTCCCCTCCCTCCTGTCAGCACTCCCCACTCTCCTGGCCCTCTGGACAGACCCCACACTCAGCACTTCCTGTCCTCAAGGCCTGTCATGTGCCCCTCTCCCCACTCCACAGCGAGTGGGCTTCATCAACTTATCTCTTGGGTCTGAGGGCTGTCCGGCAGAGGAGGCATCCAGAACAGAGTTGGGGGAGACTGTAACCCAATCCTGACTCTCCATTCCCCCCTCCCCCTAGGGACCCCGGACAATGTCATCATCCTCTCCCCTGGACCCATTGATGCCACAACTCCTGTCTGGTCTCCACCTGAAGACCCAGCTACCACCCCACCTGGCCACAGTGTCCCTGTGCCAGCCACAGAGCTGGGCTCTACTGAGCTGGTGACCACCAAGACAGCCGGCCCTGAGCAGCTGTAGCGATGGAGGGGGCAGGAGGTGGCCCTGTCCTCCCTGTGGGCCGCCAACCAGGGGCTTGGAAGTTGAATTTGGCTCTTCACCCCAGCACCCACCTGCCCCTTCCTGGAAGCCAGGCAGCTCCCCTGCTGAACCCTGCAGAACCGCAGACACTACAGACCACAGTGCTCAGAGCCAGCATGGACTGTTCGGCATGTTCGCCTTTAGCTTCAGACCATACCATCTTTGACAGCCCTGGAAGGTTGTATCTGAGCTCCTGTGCTTTTGAACGATTGGGGCACCACATAGGGTTTTCCTTTAGAGTGGGAAAGCCACCATTTCACCAGAATGAGTCTAAGTAAAGGATAACGCAGGAGGATGCTTAGTTTGCAACTAAAACCAAAAAACCAAACGAGTTGCCAGTTCTGACTCAACGGTAACCCCATGTGCGCAGAGTAGATCTGTGCTCCATAGGGTTTTCAAGGCTGTGACCTTTAGGAAGCAGATTGTCAGGCCTTTCTTCTGAAGCGCCTGTGAATGGGTTAAAACCTCTAACCCTTCGGTTAGTAGTCAAATGCTTAACGATTTGTGCCATCCAGGGACTCCTGTTTGTAACTAGTTGTATTTCTTTAATACTTGCTCTCAGAGCTGTCCTGCTTTTAAACTGATGTAAATGGTAGCAATGAGTTTGCTTTGAGATTTAGTTTGCTTTGAGAATTAGGGATGAGAAATAGCCTGCCTGACCAAACGGGCAACAATTACTCAAAAGCAAAGGTGAGAAGATAAGAGGACAGGGAAACTAGAGTACTGAAAAGGGAACAAACAGAAGACAAAGAGAATGTTGACACATTGTGATCAATGTAACTAATGTCACTGAACAATTTGTGTGGAAGTTGTCAAATGGGAACCCAACTTGCTGTGTAAACTTTCACCAAAAACTCAATACAATATTATTTAAATAAAAAAGAAATAGGCTGGATTGTGTTGATTCTCAGGTATCTGTATCTCGAGATCAACCCTGAGTTTGGCCCAACCTGCTGGGACCTAAGACGCCATTTTCACCCTAGTGACAGCTTCCAGAACCACAGACCTGCACCTGGGAGGAAGTCTACAGCCTCTGGGGCTGGGCTCCCAAACCCAGGCTGAGGGAACACTGGCAGCCATTGCCCTCAGACCACCCTGGGGTCCCAGCTACCTCTAAGCCACTACACACTCAGAGTCCAGAACCTACACAAAGAGGCCAGGGCAGGCCTGTGGCCTTGAACCAGCTAGACCTGATGTCCCTTGAGCTCCCGTCTCTCTGTGGCTTATTCCAAGCAACTAGCCCTGAGTGCTGGGGTCACTTGGCTGTTTGGTCACCCCACTATTTCAGTGGAAGCTGCTCCTCTGGCATTGGTGTCATTGCTCTAGCGCCTGGGGCTGAGACCGTCTCTGTCCCCTCTGGACACCACACTGCACTCACAGTCAGCTACTGCCTCTCCTGCCTGCCCTCCTACACAGGATCAGACCTCCTGATCTGGATGCCACTCTGCCCAGCTTCCTTGGAGCTTGTCACAGCTTAGCACCCTTGGAAGGAGCACTGGACTGAGAGTCAGAAGATGGGGTTCTGGGTGCCATCTTGTCCCACTGTAGGACCTTGCCACGTTGTGTTCCATGCATGCGAGGTTTCTGCCTGCCTCTCCCTGACCTGCCCACCAGAGCTGCCTAGCAGACACCTACGCTTCCTGCCCCCCGCTTTCCCAGTTTGGTCAGCTGCCAGCTTCATGGGGTACCCCCAGGGCCTGGGCACTCACACCCAAGTTTCTGCCCCAGCACTCCCTTCCTGAACCCATATAAGATACCCCTGCCCCCAAGGAGTCAGGTAGCTGGGGTGGGGTCTGATGGCAGGCAGGAGGAGGAAGAGGGGGTGCAGGCCCAGAATGGGCTCAGCTGTCCACTTCCCTGTTTGTCCCTGAGATGCGGGAGTCTGAGCTGTTGCTGGCCACCACCTGTTCTGGTCTATCTCACACCCCACCTTTTCCATCAGTCAGAGCTGAGCCCTGGAGGTGAAATGAGTGGGTAAAAAACTATCCCTGGGGCCCAGACATGCAAACCTCTGTCCCAGCTGAGCCCTGGCTGGTGCCACGCTTCCTTTCCGGGTCTGTTTCCTCTTCTGAAAAATGGCAGGGGGGCGGGGGGGTTGAATGTAAAGTTCTGGCCTCAGAAGACTGGAAGGAGTCCTAGAGAATTCAGTCACCCGGTTTTACAAATGAGGACACTGAGGCCCAGGAGGGCGAGGACTTGGTGTCAGAGTTGTCCGGCAAATAATACAAGGGAAGTTCCTTGGGAAAGAACCAGGAGCCGAGACCAGGGGATGGGGGGGTGGGGGGGTGGGCACAGTCTCTTCCTGGAAAAGAGCCCTGCCTTCTGTCTAAGGTGTCACTTTCTAAGGGGCCTTCACATCCAGTACCTCAGCTGGATCTTCATAGCACCACCTGGGAGGGGAGGACTGTTGGTGTTTGTTTAAACAAATGCTTTTTATTAAAAATCAAGACTTGCTTTTTGTAGACAACTTGGAAAGTTCCAGAGAGTGAAGCTAAGGTGGGGGCCTGGAGAAATGACCCATAATCCAGCCACCGCAGCCACCAGCGCGTTTGGTGTATTTGCTACATAACTGCAATCATTCTACACATACAAGCTTGTATCTTGGCCATTATGTTTTGGGAGCTTTCTTCTGTCTTAAAACACTCTGCTAACAAGGTTTTCAACATCTGCAAAGTTTTCCACTGAGCATTCATTCAGTTGCTTTCTTTTTTTGTTATTGTAACTGAGGCAGTGAGCATTTCCTGGGAGAGTTGGTGTGCCAAAGGCCCTTTTTAAAGACTTTCCCAAAAATCTAGACCAGTTTACGGCCATCAGCAGGGATTCTATGGCGCATTTTGCAGATAGGGAAACAGGCCCAGAAAGGCGAACGGACTTGCCCCAAGACACACAGGCAGTGAGTGGTGGAGCTGGGCTGGCTCTGTCCCTGCCCCATGAGTCTGGGCAGCCGAAGGACATTGGCCCAGGTGCCCTCCTGGGGAGTGGCTGACGCCTGGGGTCGTTCCAGGCTCCACCCGTGTTTTCACCACTGCTCAAAAGCTACCTCCCCAACTGGCTTCTTTCTGCAGTAAGAGGGATCCAGGAGTGGGTCTGGCAGAACGGCGCTGGGGTAGGAACTGGGGGATGCAGGCCCGTCCTGCAGCCTGTGTTTGGGCCAGGTTTTCCTGAAGGAGGGTCTGTTTTCCTCAAGGTCCCCAGGGCCCCGGCAGGTGGAGGCGGGGCTGGCTGAAGTCTCAGTTCCTCTTGGGGCTTCCTACAGGCACTTTTCACTTCCTGCTGGGCAACTCTGGACTGGGGGCACAGGGTAGAGGTGGGGAGGCCCAGCTGGTGAGGCCTGGGAGGAAGGGCCTGACCCCTCACCTCCCTCTGTCTCAGCAGAGATGGCCCCACACAGCACTGTCCTCATAGGCTGGTGGCATCTCTGGGCCTGTCCCCCGATCTGCAAATGGGGCTCCTGAGGGCCAGCCAACCCTTGTTGGAGGTTAAAGAGTAATGTGGCAAGTAGGTTCTCCACCCAGGAGTGCCTCCAGCTCCTTCCCTTCCTTCCCAAGACACGGACACTTCCTGCCCAGAATCCCCAATGCTCTGACATTCCCCCTGGAAATGAGTGTCCCAGAGCCCAGGTCAGAGGTCTCAGCGATTACCTCCCATCACTCATCTACTTACTGCCCCACTACTCACACAGGGTCATGGCCACACCTGCCCTGGGCCAGTCTGGTGGGAGAGACAGAGTGGGACACAATGGCAGAACAGGGAATGCCCCAAGCAGGGAGGTGACTAATTCCAGGGCCCAGGGAAAGCTTTGGAGAGGAGGTCTGTCCTGCTGGGCTGGAGCAGAGAAAAGGTATTCGGGTCCCAAGGGACCATGTGCAGGGGGGCAGAGGGGCAGGAGGGGCAGGGGAGGGGGAGTGGCTGGAGACATGAACGGCTGTGCTGGAACCTTAACGGTGTCCATGCCTGCCCCGCGGCCACCCTCAGGGAGCCCAGAAGCTCCTCCAGCCCCACCACGTGGTGTCTCACCCTTCCCAGTCCCTTCTCACAGGCCTCCGCACACCTCTGGGTACGGACCGGGTGGGAGCTCACTCCCGTTTGCTCTGTTGGGGGTAGCTCAGGCCAAATTCTTCCTCATCCAGTCCTGGTCTGCTCTGTGCCCCCTCCCCGGCTGCCTGACCTGGGGACGGGGAAGGCGGGTAGCAACTGCCCAGGGTCACGCGGGGGAGTGGGGCGGGGCCAAGAAGAACAGAGGCCCGTGGTCCCGGCCCAGGCGCTTTGCTCTCGCTCGCGCTCGCCTGTGAGCCCCCGGAGACACCACAGGGTCTTGGGATCCAGAGAGCCCCTGAGCATCTCCTCTGCTCCCCTCAGCTGCGGAGAAGCTGGGATCCAGCCCCAGGCGTCCTGCCCGGATCCCAGGCAGTGCCAGCGACTCCTCCGTGGGCGAAAGTCTATCCGCGCTACTGGTGCAGACTGCCCGGCGCACGAAACCTTGACCTCCAGGCGCCCGCGCGGGGCGGGGGGCTCCGAGACGGAGGGGCGGGGCCAGGGCGAGGGGCGGGCCGAGGGACCCAAGCCTCAGAGCTGGATGCAAGTGGCCGGACCCGAGGGAAATTGAGGGGGCGGGGTCAAGGCTCAGTGGGGGCGGAACCAAAATCAACTGGACGCCCTCCAAGCTCCTGCCCTCTGCGCCCGCGCGGGGTCCCGGCACACGTGCGTCGGGAGGACTGATGCCGGAACCTGGAGGGTCCTGGAGGCAGGGGAGGGCAGGGCTGCGACTCTGGGGCCAGGTGTGCTTGTCGGGGGTGCAGGACGCCTTCCCCGGGCTCGGAGCTGTCCTGAGTGGTGCCCCGGAGCGGGCGGACCTTCCCCAGGGACGCGCTGTGTGGCCTCCGCCTGGCCCTGCCCTCTCTGAGTCTGTTCCCGCGCTACAGCTTTGGGGGCTGCTCCGGATTTGCTCATTCACCGGGGCCTTTGGAGAATCCTGAAGGGGGAGACTATTGGTGGGGATTCGGGCGGAGAGATCAGCTGTGACGACTTGAGCGACACTTCGCGTGGCAGGGTGGGTGCAGGCTGGGAGAGGGTGCATGGGGGATTTGGACGGGAAGCTGAGCCCCAGCTCCCAGCCCGCCAATCTCGCCGCTCCCCGCGACCTCAGGAGCCAGGGCGCCCCCTCCCTCCCACGGGCAGCTGGAGCCTGAGTCATGAGCTGCCTCTGGCAGACAAGGCAGCCGCGGGCCCTCCCCCTTCGACCCCCCCCCCCGATTCCGGTATTTGCACTGGCAGGGAGTCCAGAGTCCCCCAAAATCTCTGCTTCTTGGGTCAACCTCCATTTCCAGGAAATAGAAGCAAAGTGGGCTTGGGAAGGAGGCCTTTGAGGCTTGTGGCTGGCTCATCCCCATCACCATCCTCTCAGCCATACTGGGTGGGGGCTCCTGGAGGCCTCATGTACCTGGCTGTTTCCCAGTGGGGCTCAATGGCTTCTCCCTGCAGCCCTGCCAAAGAGGTACTAGCAGCCCATCTTGCAGATGAGAAGAATACAGGCCTAGAAAGTTTGAATGGTCCTAGTAGAGCAGGAATTCCAAGCCAGGTCAGTCTGGGATCAAAATGGGAACTCTCAGTGCAGGGGCTGAAAAGGCATTCCAAAAAGAGAACATCCCGTGCAAAGGCCCATGCATGAGTGAGGCACAGGCGGGTGTGCTTTCAGGGTGGAGGGAGGCACTTCCCCTGGACCCTGGGCCCAGCTGCGGCTCCTCTCTCTGTCTCTGCTGAACTAAGTTTCGGCCCGCTGGGCAGGTTCTAGGCCAGACCCTGGCCCTTCCTGGGTTGTGTGCCAGTCACAGACATCACTTCCCTTCTCTGAGCCTTGGATTTCTCTCTAGAGAATCCCAAATCCCCTCTCCCAGGGCTTGCAGAGCCAGCATCCCTCACCATCTAAAATGGGGAAACTGAGGCCCACCATAGGCTTTCCCTGATGTCCAGACCTCTCAGGACCCCCAGCCTTCCACAGTCAAGGCCAGGTACCCAGTGAGGGCTTGACAGTGACATGTGTGCCCAGGCCAACCCACACTAAGACATTCATACACGCGTGTACATTCATGTGCATGGTACAGGGAAGGCCTCGCAGCCACACCAGCCCCAGCGTGCACACTCTCGCTCAAGTTCATGTACACACCCAGACACCTGCACACTCAGCTGCCAGCGTCGGGAGCTGGACGTGGGACGGGTGCCCTTCAGGCACAGAGACACTGCTCCTCTGCCCGCCCCGTGGGGCTTGCTGCAGATGCCAGGGGTTATTTTAAGCCTGGATCAATGGACTCTTTTTGGTGACACAGGCTTGGGGAGGGGCAAGCAAAGGAGACAGGGGGCGGGTGGCCTGGTGCCTTGCTGTGGAGAAGGGAGGCTTGCAGGAGACCCCGGATCCAGGGACAGGCAGCCTGGACGAAGGGGTCACTCCTCAGTTGATCAGCTCCATCTCTAGATCCCCTCGCCCAGCTCACGACCCAACTCCTGGAGGGAGGGTAGTGTCAGCTGAACGGGTGGTCAGGGTGTTCATATGGAGAGGGCATTGAGCACCTGGCATGGGTCCAGCAGATATGGGCACCTGTGGTTGCTGGCTGACTGCTGAAGCAGACTGAGATGGGGAGAAGCGATGTGGGAAGAGGGCATCAGTCTCTAGATGAGCCAGAGGGACTGGAATCCAGGTCCGTCTTTGGACAAATGGCAGTCACAACCCCCTGTAATTGGCATGTATGTTTGCAGGACGTGATACAGGAGTCAACATGGGCTCGAAGTTGAGCAGAGAGTGTCCTGTGCCCAGACAGTGGGGCAAGGAGGGGGCAGAGAGAGGGCATGACCCCAGGGGAAGGCACTGGGGAGACTGGCTCTGGGCCCAGTAGGGTCACCCTACCTAAGAAAAGGTCATGGTCTCAAAAGGACAGAGACATGCCTATTTAAGCCTGAAAAAACCAACCCATTGCCTTCAAGTTGATTCCTACTCATAGTGACCCTACAGGACAGGGTAGAACTGCCCCATAGGGTTTCCAAAGCTGTAAATCTTTACAGAAGCAGACTGCCACATCTTTCTCCTGCAGTGTGGCTGGTGGGTTCAAACCACCAACCTTTTGGTTAGCAGCTGAGCGCTTAACCACTGTGCCACCAGAACTTCTATTTAAGCCTAGTCCCCTGCCATGGTGGGGCAGGAGAGGGGGAAGAAGTGCCACTCTCAGGGCCCCAGCAGCCTGGAGGGCAGCTGGCAGTGGGTGGTAGAAGCAATAACACAAATTGTGCAGTTTGAGCCACTGATTCCATTGCTAGGAATGTCCCCCAAGGAAGCAGAAAAGGATGCTCCAGAAAGTAGAGCTAGGAAGCTCTGAGCAGAATAACAAGCTAAAAGTTTAAGAGCATCAGAATGTAAACTAAAAACCAGTTACAAAACAGTGTGTAAAATGTGACATATTTTAGCATCGGTGTCTGGTGACAGGATTAAGGCGATTTCATTTCATTCCTTCGCTCATCTTTTTTTTGCCTTCTAAAATTGTAATAGGGTTTAAAGAAAAAAATATGTAATAAAGAAAGTCTTGTTTTTACACCCACTCCTCACTTATCAACATGCTTAGGTTCCAAAGACCAGATCGCTATGCAAAAATCAGCATTATGCAAAAATGGAGGATGACCACATTGGATCACAAAACGGAGGATGACTGCATCATTACATAACTGCCAAATTACATCATTACATAAAACTGCCAAACCACCGAGAATCATGGCCCAGCCAAGTTGACACGTAACATTGACCATCACAGCCAGCGTTACTCTAGCCTCTCACCTTTGCTTTCCTTACTGCCAGACATGGTGGTTAATGTGCAAAATAGTCAGATAGTAGATTTTTTACTATCGTCTTACATGCGAAATAACAAGATAGTGGATAAGTGAGAAGTAGGTGTAATTGGTGTGGGGTCTTCTGGGCTGAATGGAAATTGAATGTGTGGGTGTGGGTTGGGGGTGCGGGCGGGGAGTAGGGCGTCTTTATTTAGCCAGGGCACAAGAAAGGACCCAGGGAAGGGTGGGCTGTGGGGAGATCACCCACTTCCTGTCTTAGCGCATTAATACTTGAAATTAGCTGTCAGCCCTCATCTTGGCAACAGAAGCACTTGATCCTCCTTAAAATGTAAATCCTCCCCTCTCCCATAACCCCCACTTTTATAAGCAAATCCCAGTTGCCCAAGGAAGGGGGGATGGAAAGGACAGCAGGAAGAATCCTGTTGTCGTTGGGTGCCATCGAGTCGGCTGGACTCATAGCAACCCTGTGTACAACAGAAGGAAACACTGCCAGGTCCTGTGCCATCCTCACAATCGTTGTCATGCTTGAGACCATTGCTGCAGCCTAGGAAACGCAAATGCTTCATCTTAGAGAAACTGGAGAGCAGAGTTACTTCATTCATTCATGTAGCAGGACCCAGGGTGAACTGGATGCCCCGTCCTGGCCCTCCTGGCGTCTGGACAGTGGGGACGCACGGGACCATATTGACCTGGCCGCCTGCGGAGGTGGGGGCGGATTATTAGTCTGCCTTCCAGGAAGTTTTTGATGTTACAGATGAGAAACTGAGGCAGAGAGAAGCAGGGCTCCAGGGCTCGGTCACATTCTCCAGTTAAACCCAACTTGGCAAACACCGAGCAGTGCCCATGCGGTGCCGGAGGCCAGGTCCTTGCTCGGTTACCGCTCGCCTCCTCCTCCTCCTCTTCCTGGGCTTGTGAAAGGACCTGCGGAGGGCGGGGCAGAGGTCTGCCATTGGTCCCGCCCCCAGGACTGGCCCCGCCATTCGCGTGGAAGGTTCGGGGTGGTCCAGTCTCCCCCTGTTCACTATCTGGTGCTGTGTCCGCGCCCATCGCCACCCGGGTGGGAGCTCCCGAGGTTAACGCCGCGCGCCCTGACTGCGCGGAGAGTCCTCAGACCTCCCCTCTGCAGAGGCTCCGTTTGTGGTTTGCTTCCCACTAGACAGACGGGAAAATCGGGGCGCACAGAGGGAAAGGGTCCTGTCTCCTGTCACATCTCTGTGTGGATCAGAACGGACAGAGGGAGAGGGAAGGAGGCGGCGGTGGGGGTGGGGGGGAGCCTCGGTCCTCCCAGGACTGCTCCGGCCTCTGCGCCTCAGTCTGCACCTGTACAACACAGGCGCGCTGTCGTGGGCCCCAGGTCCGAAGTAACAGCCCCGGGAGCCGTAAGCTGAACCCCTTTCGAGCGCCCAAGTGCCGGGACTATTTGGGGAGGTTTCCCGGCAGGGTCCCAGGCTGCTGCGCGCCGCTGCCCCCTCCCTCCCCAGCACGGCCGCGCTCCTCCCGGCCCTGCCCCTCCCTGCCCGCTTCCCTCGCTCCCCCGCCCGCTCGCCCGAGCCGCTGAGCGGCTGAGCCGCTGAGCCGAGCCGGAGCAGAGCGCGGGAGCATCGAGCGGCGGCGGGCGGGCGGGCAGCGGTGGCGGAAGCCCGGCGCTCCCCGCTAGGCCTGGGACCGCACACCCGCCGGGCGGGGGAGAAGCCGGGGCACAGGGCACGGAGAAACCCAGCCGTCCGGCCCGGGGGTCCCAGGGCGCGGGACTCGCCGCCTCGGGCAGAGAGGAGCCCGGGCGGAGGTGCTGCATCCGCGAGCTACGGACCAAGCCCTCCGGAACGAGTCCACCGGGTGTGGGCGCCCGCCGGACGCCGTGCCCGGGCCAGGGTCAGTGCGACCCCTGACAGCGCGGAGCAGCCACTACAGGCCGGGCCATGCGCGGGTCGCAGTAGCCGAGGCGCGGCCCGATGGAGCGGTCCGGAGCCTGGCGTGTGTGTCCTGGCCGCCGCCCGCCGGAGCTCGGGCTGGCGCTCGGGCTGGTGCTGCTGCTGGTGCGGACGCCGTCGGGCCGCGCGGGGGCCCCTAAGGCGCAGAAGACCGCGACGCCGGGCACAGCGGCCCCGGCCGGTGGAGACCGCTGCCGCGGCTACTACGACGTGATGGGCCAGTGGGACCCGCCCTTCAACTGCAGCTCGGGCGCCTACAGCTTCTGCTGCGGCACGTGCGGCTACCGCTTCTGCTGCCACGACGGGCCGCGGCGCCTGGACCAGAGCCGCTGCTCCAACTACGACACGCCGGCCTGGGTGCAGACTGGCCAGCCGCCTGCGCGCACCCGGGACATGGCGGCGCCCCGGGACCCGGGCCGCGAGCGCAGCCACACGGCCGTCTACGCGGTGTGCGGTGTCGCCGCGCTGCTAGTACTGGCCGGCATCGGGGCGCGCCTGGGCCTCGAGAGGGCGCAGAGCCCCCGCGCGCGGCGCACCGTGAGCAGGTGAGCGCCAGGCCCCCGCCGGGGACCCCGGCCCGCTGGGTCCCGACTGCCCTCCCGCCGGTCCGCTTTCCCTCGGACCCCAGACTTCCGCCCCTCTCTGAGAGCTGGTCCTCTAGCAGCGCCTCCTCCTGCTTGTCTCTGGTGTCTCTGTCTCCCCCATCCCCACTTCACGGAGCGCGACAGCTGATACCGCCTTGTCTTCCCCTTGACCTTCCGGCCAGAGCTGGGCTCTGGGAAGCCCTCCCCCGCGGCTCCTGCCTCCTCCGGGGAGGGCTGGTCGTCGTCCTGCACAGAAGGCACAAGGTCCCCGCTAAGGGGAAGGGGTCTGAGGGCAGATCCCGGCTAGCCAGGCTGGTGGGGAGTGGGGGAAGCTGATACGGTGGAGGGCCTCTGGGGAAGAGGTCCCTGCCTGAGGAAGGGAAGGGGCACCTTCTGCAGCTCTCTAGGCTCTCTTCCCTCCAGCCTCCCCACTTCCCCTCCTACCCCCCTCCCCCCACAGCTGTGACCCAAGCCTGACCTTCCTTCTCTGGGGTCTCAGAGTCCCTGCCGCCCAGTACTCCCCAAGCAATGTCAGGGCCTTCCCTGTGTAGAAAGGGCGTGGGACACAGACTCCTATGTTCCTGAGGCCAGGACAGGTGCTGGCTGAGTTCCGGGCTTGGTGTGAAGTGGGGTCTCCAGGACCCAGGTTCCCTTCCTCAGCTGGAAAACGGGGTTAAGGAATGAGTCTGGGATTCTATGTGTCCTGGCCCTGGAACCCCTCACCCTACACCCAAACACACACACCCCGGCACCCCACCGTCACGTCTGAGGGCTGTACCCTCCTCACCCGCCAGCCCCCAGCCCCTGGGGCATGTGGACTGCTTGGTAGCTGTTGGCGCTGCATGTGGTGGGCTGATATTTAGAAGTGACAATAGAGAGTAGCAGACTTCCCTCTCCTGGGCCTCGGGAGCAGGAGAGGAGGGCTTCCTTGGCTTTCCAGGTCCCCTTGCCCCCCAGACTTAGTCCTCCCCCTTCCTGACGACTGGAGGGCAGAGCTGGGCTGGAATTCTGGCCTCCACGCTCAGCCACTGCACCGCCCGAGGACTGTGAGTGTCTGGGCTTGGGTCCTTGACGCTGCCAGGGGCAGGTGTGGGGCCTCCTGTGCTTGGGGTCCCTCATGCTGAGGGTGGGGGAAAGGGCAGGGCATGTCCTTGATTAGGGTGTGCCTCTGAAGCCATGGGCCGTGAAGAATAGATGGGTGGCTGGGCAACCTGGCTGACATGTCCACCTAGAACCCTCTTTATCTGAAGGGAACGGGGAAGCAGGTCTGGCTATGCTACCATCATCCTCAGAATGTGCATGTGGCCTGGGCCAGGCCCTTCCCCTCTCTGGGTTCAGGCTCCCATGCGTCTGACGCCTTGTCCTCTCAGGGGGGACCTGGAACAGGGCCTCATGTGTGGGTATGTTCTGAACCCTTGCTTTCCCTGTCTCACGCTGAACTGTCGTGTTGGATGTCATGGTCAGAGAAGGTTTCTCTGAGGAGTTGGGAGAGGGGAGCTGGAGTCTGTCCCTGAGAAAATTTGTGCAAAGGCCCAGAGGCATGAAAATGAGGTGTTTGGGAGAGCTGGGCTAGAGGCAGCTTGTCCAGAGATGAGACCATGGGGGTGGGCAGCTGAGGAGTGAGCAGGACACGAAGGTCAGCTCAAGGGGGGCATTGGGAGGCGTTCAGACCCTGCCACATTGCAGCCAAACCGCACCAACCCACAGGTGTCCCACCTCCAGTGTGCCTCTTCGTGAATCAGCCATTTGAGGCCCCAGCCCCAGGAGGGGGTTCAGACTGAGTTAGGAGAAAATCATGGGTTCTGGGCCCCAGAGGCAGCTGGGCCAAGGGCTGCGGCTGGCTGTCTTTGGGGAAGGCTGTCAGCCACTGTCACAGCTGGGGGTGGGGGCCTGGGTGTCCTGGGAACCCAGGGAAGTGGCTGCCCAAGGTCACATAGCCTTTTGGTGCTGGGCTGCCACAGGGCCATCTCCCAGCCTGCCTTCCTGCTCTCATCTGCCTACCCCTCCGTGCTGGCAGCCATGTCCCAGGAGCCAGCAGAAGGCCCTACTCTAGGAGCAGAGTTAGGTAGGCAGGTAAAGACTTCTTGGAGAAGGAGGAACTCCAGTGGGGATTTGAAGGGTGAGTAGGAGTTTTACTGGAGGAGTTGGCAGGTAGGATATTGTAGGCAGAGGGAACAGCACAAGCAAAGTCCAGGAGGCTGCTGTGTTCACCGAGCTTGTGTTGGGAGAGGAAGCTCAACTTGGAGGGCCTTGGATGGGGCTCCGGGAGGAGGAGGGGAGAGGAGCCTCTAGAAAACAAGGTGGCCTCTGGCCACATGTGACCCCACTAGAGCTCCTTGACCTGCTCTGAGGAGGCCATCTTGGGGCCACCAAGACGTGAGGTCAACTATAGGGGAGGATGGGGGCCTAGAGAGTGCTGCCCAGGGCCACACAGTGAGACAGTGGTGGCCAGGGCTGACCTCTGAGCCAAGGCCTGGCCAAAGGGGAGGCAGGGGGCTGGGAGGGTGGCCTCTCACCACTTTGTCCCCACAGAACACTGACAGAGCTTCTGAAGCAGCCGGGCCCCCAGGAGCCACTGCCCCCACCACTGGGCCCACCTCTGGGCAGCTGTGTCCAGGTGCAGATGGGTGATGGTCTCCCTCGGGGCTCCCCCCATATCAGCATAGGTGAGTAGGCTGGTAGCGCTGGACCTCCCTTGTCTGCCCCAGTCCTGGGCTGAGAGCACGGGAAAGGGTGTAGTGTTTGTCCATTTGGCTGGGGAGCGGAAACTCTGAGCTGGCTGCTTCCCAGATGGAAGTGAGCTGCCAGCAGCCGCAGGTGTGTGAGTGGGGGTCAGGGAATCCCCCTGGTGGAGGCGAACACGCCGTGAGCCCTGCCACTTTTGACTCTCAGGGGCTGTGGCTTAGTCTTCAGATCCAGGGACCTTGATTAGGGCTGTGATTCTGAGGCTTTGGCTGGCGACCCCCAGTCCTCCCAGGGCCCTGGGGTCTGCCTGGCCCAGGTCTGTGACCTTCTGTGGGCCTTTTCTTCCAGGCTGGAGGCCCTCTAGCTGGGGAGGCAGCACTGGCAGTCCCACCCCCCGCCCCCTTCCCCGGGGTCCTGGGACTCTGCGCCTGACTGCGCCTGACACGTGGAGGGTGGGCTGGCGAGTCACCCGCCCATTAGGTTAGCACCCATGCGGGGCTGACTGCTATTATTCATGTTATTCTGAGCCAGGCCCTGCAGGTTCTGGCAGGTGTGGGGTGCGCCCCGGGCAGCGGGCCCAGGCGCATCTTACCTGCCCCCCTCCCTGCCCCCCAGACAAGAAGCGCCCCAACAACGCGCCCCTGGGGTTGACGACACCGGGGCCCCCGCGCGGTCCCCGGCTGCAGGGCTGCGGCACCATGACGCTGCAGCCCTACTACGCCAAATACACCACGCTCAAGGCCGCAGGTGAGTGCCCGTACGTGCCGGTGGGCCTGCTGCCTGCCCCACTGGCCCTGGCTACCCAGGCTCCTTGATTACAAAGCCCGGGGGACACGGCTCAGAGCCCAAAGTTCGCAGCCTGCCGGGGTCAGCGCTCCGGCCGCCCCGGAGCGACTAACCAAAGTTTCCCTTCGCAGCCAATTGGCTCCCACGCCTTCGCCCGTACCCCCATCTCCGGCCCCGCCTCCCGCGGTCTAACCCCGCCCCGTTCCCTGCCCTTGGCCCTGAAGCCCTGCCCCTACGACCTGACCCCGCCCCGCTCCCCGTATCCCCTGGACCCGCCCCGCCCTGCTCCCTTCAAGCCCTAGCCCCGCCCCTGGGGTCTGACCCCGCCCCTTCATGTCCGTCCCAGGCCATGACCCCGCCCCCTCCTTGTCCCACCTATTCAGTGACCCTGTCCCTGCCGTCTGGCCCCGCCCCTGCCCTGTTCCCCTATCTTCTGACCCCGCCCCTCAGGTCTGACCGCCCCCCCCCTCCCCCGCCCTGTCCCTGCAGAGGCCGCCCCCCAGGACTTCTACCAGCATTTCTGCGCCTCGGAGCCGGCCCCACTGACCCTCCCGGCGCGGGCACCGCGGCCTCCCGAGGACTTGCCCGCGCTGCTCGACGCCTGCCCCTGGGCCCCACCGGGCTACGCGTCCCGGCCCTGCCCCACCTCATCGAGCCACTACAAGGCCACTACAAGGCCGGGACAGCCGGCCGCCCGCAGTCACCTGGCGGCCCAGGCCTCCACTGCATCCGGGCGGCCTAGCCACGCGCCCCGGCGCCAGTTTAGCGTGGAGAAGCTGCCTGAGGCCTTTAGCGCGCAGCCCCCTGGCTTCTACGGCAGCGCGGGCCGGGGACCCCGGCACCTGAGCACCAACGGCAAAGCTGAGGTTACCGTGTGAACACTGGGACGCTGGTCCTCCCGAGGCATCGCCCAGAGCCCTCGTCCGCCGGGGGCCGCTCATGGCCCAGTCTGCAGCATCAGGCCGCAGGAAGAAGGACCTTGGCCCAGAAAGGCCAGCCCTCTGCCTGCCCAAACTGGGGAGGGGGCCTTGGAGCCCGAAGGGCTAAGAAGGGGCCACAGGCTCAGGCCAGGGGGCCCTAGGGTCCGAGTTCCTTGTGTAAATAGATGCTTTTCTGTGGTTCGTGCCCCTGAGAATAAAGATGGTGCCCTAGCTTGGCTGGGCAGGCGCTGATGGCAGTGCTGGTCACTGACTGGATGGATGGCAGTGCAGGCCGAGGGCACAGCCTGTGCAGCAGCAGAGGGCTGCTCCGGAGGGCTGGCACTCGGGTGTTGGGAGCCAGGGAAGTGATGGAGAGATGGTCAGGGTTGCATGCCAGGCTTAGTGCCCATACCAGGAGGAGCCACGGGCAAGGGGGCATCTTGAAGCTGGGGCACAAGGGAGAGGACTGTTGGCCCCTCAAGGCCTCCTAGGGAGTCCATGCCCCCAGTGGGGTGCTCCCCCCCACAGGTCACCTACCCTACAACCTGAGTTAGCTGAGCCTGGTTGACACGTCTGGCTCTGGGCCAGCCCCTGGCCTGCTGGCTGCTTGGCGAGCTTGGCCTGGGGCCACCCCCCTAATAGGCATGGGCAGCAGGCCTGCTGGACAGCTGGTGCTCAGGGTGGGGACCTCCTCCCAGGAGCTGCTCTGGGAGGAGGGGGATGCGATGCTGGACCAGGGGGCTGGGCACTGCCCCCACCCAGGTTCTCACACCACACATGCTCGGCACTGCCAGCTCCCCCTGTCCTGCCAGGAGGGTTCCCGGTATCTGGCTGTAGCCCAAGGCTGTGCTACCAGCCTGTGTTCCTCTTTGATGGGTTCCTCTGTGCCAGGAACTGTTGAGGAGGTGGCGGCTGGGCTACGGCCCTGGATATGTGACCGCAGCACAGCCACTCAGCTAGCTGGGCCTGTTTCCCTCCTGTGCACCTTGGCATGGTAACAATGGCCACCATTTGCTGCTGTTTCTCCCATTTAATCCTCATGGAACCCCAGGAGGTGTGGATTTTACAGAGCTCACTTTACAGATGAGGAAATGGAAGTTTGGAGGAGTCACTTGCCTAAGGTCACCCAGCTGACCCCCCGTTCAGGATGCTTCCGTATTCTGCCGCCCCTGTGGATCTGGTGGGGCAGTAGGGCAGTCCGGGAAGGAGGGAAGGTCATGAATGTGTGTGCTGGCTCCAGGTAGATGATCCCTGTTTCAGACCTTCCTCCTGCTAGCTGGCCTGCCCCGAGGCCCCAGAACCCACCAGGCCTGGTCCCAGCCCCTAACTGCAGGCAGGTTCACCTCCTTGCCCTTAAAGGAAGGATGTTGAGGAAGCCGAGGCCCAGAAGCCCCTGGACCAAGTGGAGCCCAGAGCCCACGTTCCTGTCTGCAGTGGGGGGCCTGTGGCTTCCAGAGGAGACAGGTCCAGCCCTCACACCCTTGGCCCCAGGGTCGGGGTGTGGGGCCGGGGGAGGGGTGTGGGTGCTGAGTCACAGAGCCTGCCAAAACTCACAGAAGGATCAGGCTCCTGGGCACATCGGCCACCCACGGCCACCCACCCTGGTGACGCAGGCCCTGGATCTCCATCCCACTGGGGCCAGGCTGAGGCCATGCGAAGCGGCCACCACCGAACATGCTGATGTTCTGTGGACAAGGACCAGCTGCAGCCAGCCTCTCCTGGCTGCTCTGGCCCTTCAGAGAGCGGAGGGGCTGAAGGGAGCAGGCCCATTTCTCAGCCAGGGGAGCACTCACCTATGGCCCCAGCTGTCACCCCCACACCCCCAACCTTATAAGGCCCAGCGCTCTCCCTTCCAACCACTCCTTGGTGGTCTCCTCCCACCCCAGGGGTGTCCTAAACCAAGGCTGGCCTCACCAGCCTCACCAAGGCTGCCAATGAGCCCATGAGGACCGCCGTCAAAGGCGGGGTTGTCATCCCCATTCAGAAAATGAGGAAGTAGAGACTGAGCGGGAACATCCCCTGCCCAAGGTGGCCCAGCCGGGAAGTACAGAAGCTGGGCTTGGTCTGACTGGTGGGCCAGGGAGTGTCCTCAGAGGCTCGCTGCCCTCAGGGAGGAAGAGGAGACTAAGGAGAGGGTCCCCCAATGTGGGGAGATTTCTTCCGAGAGTTAAAGCACAGAAGGGCTTAGCCTCAAAATCCCAAAGGACTGCTGCTGTCAGCCGCCTGGCCAGTTCTACCTCTGGAAATAAGACAAAGCGTGGATATGGTGACCTCCGACCCCAGAAGTGTCCCCCACAGTCCTTATCACAGGCTCCTCCTGGGCCTGAAGCGTGGGCTGGGCAGCTAGCATTGGAAGGGAGCGGGCAGGCGGCGGGCAAGGAAGGTCCTTTAGGCTGAATTCCCCAGGGCCTCTCTGGCTCATCAGCAGTGATGGGGGTGGGGGGGGGCTGCCCTTTTCCCTGGCCCACTGGAGGCCAAGTCATGCAGCCACTTGGGCAGTCACCGTGGTCACACTAAAGACCCTCACACACCTCATGCTGGTGGTACCAATCCGCATTTATTGAATAGCCTACGTCCTGGACACGTGAAATGTCAACATCAAGCAAGCCATGGACTCATCCCCTTGTCAGTGAAAACCACCCCCTCCCACCCCTGAACAGTAAAAGGCACAATATACACACATACACACACACACACACACGACACAAGGGCTGGCCTGATGGGGCTGGGGCTGGGGCTGGGGCTGGTGGACGGGACCCATAATTACAGGGAAAGCGAGGAGAAAAACGGGGAGGGGGCCCGCAAACTGCAGAGGCAAATCTGGCTCAACGGGGTCCATCCAGCCTGCACTCGGCATGGGGGCCCTGCTGTGTGCACCTCCACTGTGTGGAGGCCCTGCCCACCCTTTGTCCCCCATCACCCTGAGAGGGTGAGAAGCACAGAGAGGGTGGGCTCCCTCAGCCTCCCAGAAACCCCTCAGGTCCCCAGAGAAACAGTCTCAGGGGAGGGCACTGAGCCAGGGGGCCCAGAAAAGTGGGTGACTTTTCTTCCTAGGACGCCCACCAGGGCATGGGACCTCCTCCTTAGTGCCCACCGTGTGCAACCCTTTGCCCACCCCAAAAAGAGGGGCTTGTCTCTGGGGAGGGGCTGGGGGCCAGTCCCTGCCACCCTGGCTTGTTTTCAGACAAGAATTAGGGATATAAATAGACTTCAGAGGTAGGAGTTGGGCTGGAGTGGGGGTAGGAAGAACTGGAAAACCCTTGCTCAAAGTCCTGGTCCCCAGCCTCAATGGGTGGCCTCATCCCTCTCAGCCTCTTAGGCCTACCCTGAATTTGGGCTTACATCCCAGGGGGCAGGGAGTGGGAAGGAACAGGACAATTAAATAAGATACCATTTATTTTTTTAAAAAATTAAAAAATAATGCCGACATTATTTCATCTACCCCAGGCCTGCCCCTGCCTCCCACCGCCTCCCAGGCTGGCTCCCCGCTGCCCCTGGCCATCCTGCGTAAGAAAGAGAAAAACAATGAACTGGCTTTGTCAGGCACAGAGGAGGGGATGCAGACCCAGGGGAGAAATAAAGATGCTACAGCAACAGCCATCCATCGTGGCAAACCCAAGCACACGGTTATAAAAACGTTCGTATAAAAAGGGGGCGTGCTGGGCACAGGCCTGGGGCAAATGCTCTCTGGTGCCTGAGACCTATGTCCCCAGAGGAAAGCCTGATAAAAAACGAGGAAGCAGGAAAACGGGGCGCCATGGCCAGTGGAAACTCGTCTGGAAGGGCTGGGGGTGGGGGCTCAGCAGCCTTCAAGCCCGGGGACCCCCACCTCCTGCCCCGCTCATCTTTCCTCTCTCAAACCACCTGGCCCTGGGCCCAGGGCCTCTGTTGCAGCAGCTGAGGGGGCTCTGCCCAAGGGCCCGCTGGCCTGAGGAGGCTCAAAGTCCACAGCAGGCAACAGCCCAGAAGCAGTGCTCATCCCCACAGCTCTCCAAGGGAGGAAAGAGGGAGTGAGGGACAGAGGGAGGAGGGAGGAAGAAGATGGGAGATAGAGGATAGGAGACAGAGGGAGGAGGGAGGGAGAGGATGAGAGACAGAGAGGAGGGAGAGAGAGGATGAGAGACAGGGAGGAGGCAGAGAGAGGATGAGAGACAGAGAGGAGGGAGAGAGAGGATGAGAGACAGGGAGGAGG